TTTTTTCAGGCTTCTTCTTTCCAGTTGCTTAAATTGGAAAATTTACTGCGATGATCATACTTCACTTTGTAATTTTCTATAAGCAAACATCTCTCTAAAGTAAGAGAGACGCACTAGCCTTAGAAGGTATGGTAGCCTTGTGGTTGGCATGCTGGAATCCATCATGGAGAAACAAATAAGTAATGAAGGTCATCCATATTGCTAAAAAAAGGGGGCATGAGAATCCCCAGTTTTTATTGCATTTAAAATGCACAAGCTTGACGAAACGAGCAACTCTAAAGAGTTCCATTGCAGACTCTTTTTTAGGTTGGTTTTAAAAACAATGAAAATGAGCAAAATTAAAACAGCAGTAACTCAGTTGAGCCTCTGGTTTGTAAGTTTGGCATACACAGTTGAACAGGAGGTCCAATATTTTTTAACTTCCAATCAGAACTTTCCAGGGCCACTTGCTTCCTGCCCGCTGGTCAAGGGGAGTGAAGAACCCATCAGCTTCACTCAGAAAATAGTGATGTTATATATTATCAGGTATGTACAAGATTTCACACTGATTCTCCTGCTAATTTTCCAGTAAATTTTCATTGTTATATAGTATTTAAGAGAAAAAAAGGACCAAAAATTTTTCCATGGTCCACACTTTTATAGACCATTAGAAATGATGCTATGAAATGCCCACAAATTGCAGTGAAAACACTCATCTCCAACTTATGCTTCCACTTAAGTTTTGAACACATTATGACATCATTTCCATAATCTATTTAACAATTAGATTAAGAGATCAAGATTTCTATGAGGTGATACAGATAGTTGATGAGGCCAAAGGCTGAATCAACTATCACCTCATAGAAATTGAGAGCGAATAATCTAATTGTTTTAGTAGAATTCTAACTGAAACAAAAGGAAATTACGGTTTCTAATAATATTTATACATATTATTCAACTTCATGCTTCAACAAAATCACACGCTCTGAATTGTCATTGGAAATTTGCAGCTGTAAACCTGCACGAATCCTTTTTTCAATAATTTCAAGTTTGTAAGTCAAAACATTGTTGTAA